CGGTGGGATCGCGGGCGGCCTCTGCGCGGCCGCGTCCAGGCTGCACGGAACCGAAGTGGGGTGCTCCTCCTCCTCCCCCTCCTTCTCGTCCTCCTCCTCCTCCTCCTCCTCCTCCTCCTCCCCCTCCTCATCCTCCTCCTCCTCCTCCTTCGCCTCCTCCTCCTCCTCCTCCTCCTCCTCCTTCTCCTACCCTGCGCCTCTGGCCCCCTCCAGGCGCTCCTCCCGCTCCCGGGAGAGGGAGCGGCGCTGGCCAGCAAAGGGGGGCAGACAGAGGAAGGACCAGACGATCCAAGAAGAGGCAGCAGAGAGGCGCATCCAAAAATCAGAGAGAGAGAGAGAGAAACACCGCTGCCCCTCACGAAGGCCATCCCGAAGCCGCACTCCAACGGGTGTAAATCGAGGAATGTTTGCCAGCGTTGTCCCCGGAGAGTGAGTTTGCGCACAAAGGACGTCAAAGATATGTGGTGGAAACGGTGGTGTAAATAGCCAATGATCACAAATGAACTGTCAACTCCACTGCTCGCGCAATCACCCCATCCACCCACCCGCAACTTGGTTTGCAAAGCCCGCGAGGCGGCAGTAGTTATGCCTGCCTGGCGCTGGCTGGCGCATCGTTGCGGCCGCGCTAACGCGCGTAGGCTCGCGCGCAAAGCGGCCAGCTAGCCTGGCGCGACTGGCGCGGCCGCGATGGCGCTGACCGCTGGGGACGTCACAGCTCGTCTCACAAGCCGCGCTGACGGGCGGGCACTTCATTGTGAGTCGGCGACATGGGCGGGCGCGGCATCATGGCGACGTCCGCAACGGCAGACACGATGATGATGGCAGCGATGCTAGCGACGACGATGACGATGATGACTGCAAGGCAGATGACGGTGCCGGTGCTGATCACGCCGATGACGATGATAGTGTCCAAGCATCGGTGATGAAGTTATTGGAAACATTTCGACATGCGCGCGCGGCCGACGGGCGCGAGTGGCCCGCATGGTATCATTTGACAGGGGTCGTGCCCTCCCCAGCACGCGCGAAGGGCGTTCGAATGATTTCAATATGCACGCGCGAGAGGCTCGCGTGGTCGCAGATGATGAACGTGTTGAAAGCTTGATGGCTGCACTAAGAATTCGCAAGAGCGCGTGCAGACTTGTTTGAACACTGATGATGACAAACCACGTGTTTTGATATGTTTCTGGACACTCGAATTTGACATCCGTATGACACTTGCCGTTTTTTGTTTGAGCGATTTTGGCATGCGCGCGACGACATTGCGTGTGCACTTCGTCTCATTTGTTGCAAGGGGTTTTGAACGTAGATTGTCTTTGCCCCAAAACATGTGCACACATGTGCTTAATTTCTTGCAGAGAATGGGGATAGTCCTGGCCTCAGGGTGGTGGTGGAACCCAATTCTCTTTTCGGAAGGAGAATCCATGTGGTTCAAGCTGTGTGTTGCAAACTATCTGGCGCCCACGAAGCGTCTACGGGCGGCCACCAGGCGAACACCCAGAAAGGCCAGCCAGCGCACGGGGAACCTATATGAACCCCCCTGGCGCCCACGAACGGCCAACATTGCGGAGAATCTTGTTCCACACAGTTTCTCGCCTGTCGCCTTCCCAATCCACTTTCGAGACCTCCACTCTTGTATAATCTGCCACACTTCAACCATCCACGACGCCACACCCAACATTCCTCGACAATAGTGCGGTAGCATGCCACACTGTCATACTCACTGGCTGGTCTATTGCATTTCTCCCGCTGCGGCGGCCTGGGAAATCCATCGCATCGTAACCGCTTCTCGGCACAAAGCTACGCGGTCAGCGGAACTACTTGCCCGTCCCATCGCCCTCCTTATCACGCTCACACTCCCAGCCCCCTTCTGGCACAATTGCCAAAGGGTCTGAGGAAACCACAACCCTGCCCCCCTGTCGACGTGGATGCCCAGCATCCGCTGCAGTTCTCACCAACCTTCTGCCCCCATCTTCCTCCCAGCATCAGCTAGCTAAGATTGAGCACGCGAGGGTCCCAAGAGCCCCCCCAAGACGGCCCAAAGGGGGCCCGGAGACGTGCCCCAAAGACATCCAAGACGACCCCAGAGGGTCCCAAGACAGCTCAAGAAAGCCCCCGAGACAGCCTCCCGAAGGTATCAGATGGGCAACAAAGGGCGCCCTAAGACAGCCCAAAGAGCCCCCTCAGAGGTCCCAAGAGCGAGTGTGATCATGTGATCTGCCTGGCGACTCTTTGAGCTTCTGGACGAAGGTGATCCAGCGCGTTCCCTCTTCTATCCTCCCACCCTCACCCCCCTTCGAGGAAGGGCGTGTCTCTGCTCTTTATGGGCAAACAGCCCCTCCCCACCCGACCGGCGACGAACCGGGAAGAAGACCCACCCCCCACCATCCCTGCCAGACAACAGTACAGCAGGCAGTTGGCGGCAACCTCTGTGCCATGTTCGGCGCCTCGCGAGCACTTTGCATTGCTTGTTTGACAAGGGCGACGGGGGTGCCATCGTATTGCTCCGCGTGCGCAGGCCCACCATCCCTGTCAAAACCTTCGCCAAGCAGCAGAGCGCACGCTGCGGCAGAACATTCGACCAAGCGCGGGCGCCCCGCGATCATTGTGCATTGTGATTTGGAAGGGATGATGGGGGCGCCCTGGCGCGCGCAGCGCACCTCGAGCGCACAAGAAGGCCTCAGGGAGACAGCCAATCATAGTTTTCCACACCCAACAGGTTGGGGCTGTTAGATTAAAAAGAGAGCTCCCGTCTGCCCACCCTGCATACCCCGGCCGCCAGACCCCACAGGATCCCGGGAATCTTTGAGTTTTCCGCCTCGAGCCCTCAACGAATGACGACACCATACTGCGGTCGCCAGACCCCACAGGATCCCGGGAGTCCCCAAGTGTCCCGCCTCGCGTCCTCGACAAATACCGACATCCTGTGTAACAGACAGCTCCGACGGGGCGGCGTCACGGCGTCACGCCGTCCAGGAGTCACGACGCATGAGCGAAGAAGCGCGACTTATCGACACACAGCAAACACGGATATCTATATCACGACGAGTATCCCATGCCAGAGCAGAGCATAACACAATATAGCACAACATAACATGAAAGCATGAACAGCGCACAACGAAACACGGCGGATAATACCATGACGACCTATCACACCATACCATATATGACATGGTGGGTCATGACAGCACATATAATCGCATAGCCTATCATGCAGTACATGACAAATCATACAATGACATCACGCACAATAACACAATACATCAGGGCAAACAATACTATAACATCACATACGCTGGAAGTGAACCCCCTACGGACACGAGTACCATGACATGCAACAATGCAACATACTTGAGCGATACTGCAATCGCATGATGCATCGTACATACCATGCTGACCACGGCGGGGTATACCACATCGTGACCTACCGCATCATATCATACCATGGCATGACAGACATACCGTGTCATAACACACCATCGCATACTACGTCATCTAGTTAAATACATCGTACAGTGAACGAGCGGGGCATACCATAGCGTGTCGTAACACAACATGTCATACCAGAACGTATTTGACCTGCTACTGCTGCCACTGCGCCAACGACTACACTGTAACATCATCGAATGTCTCGTACCTCAAGAATCATACCATAGCATAGCATACCATAACATGAGACATTGCGCTAAACACAATCGCATGTACGCGCAGAACAGGGACGAGAGGTATTACACAGCATATCTGAGATAGTATGTCTGTCAACGACATAACTGATAACGAATCCGCCGTCCCCCGCGTGCCGGGGGTTGAAACATCGTGTGACACATTGGGCTGTCCCCCTCCTGCTTTCCCCTTCCCCGGGGGTCCAAGGCACGAGCACGCACCCCATGGACTCTCTGGAGCCCTCAGGGAGCCCCCAAACAGCCCAATAGGGCCCATACAGAGCGCCGAGACCGCCCCAGAGAGCGTCGAGACGGCCAAGGGTAGCCCCACGACGGTCCAAGATGGCTTCAAGACAGCCCACGAAGCCTCCAGGATGGGCCAAGAGTGCTCCCAAAGGACCTCCGAGATGGCCATGAGATGCGAAAGTCGTCCCAATCCCTTCGGGAACTTAGCATTTTTGAAATACTCGCCTTGCTCGTCTCGACTGCGTCCAATGCGGCCAAAGGGGCCACCAAGATCGTCCCCAAACAGCCCAAAACAATCCAAAGAAGGTCCAAGATGGCCCCAAGACAGCCCCAGGGCCCCCTAAGACTGCCCACGAGGGCCCCAAGAAAGGCCCAAGAGGAGCAATGCGAACTGACTTCTCGAGCCTTTCCCGGTCCCGTGGCCCGAGAAGCCACCCCAGCGAGCCCCGAGGCGCCCGAGGCCCCGAAGCCTCAAGATGCCTCCAGAAGGCTCCCAAAAGGAACCCAAAGAGGCCCCAAAAGCCCTGTGGCGTGCCAAACCCTTTCTCATCATGTGGCGACCATGCCCAGGACCGCGCAATACGAACGAACATGTTGCAAGACCCGCAGTGCGCAGGAACACCCCTCCGTGCGCAAGGAACCGCGAGGTCTCGGCTGTGTCTGCGTGGCCCTGCAATCCGCTGGACCTCCCATGAGCCCACGGCGACAATTGTGCACTTCGCAGCCGGCTGGCGTACGCCCCCACTCCGCCGTGCCTCCCAAGAGCCCACGGACGTGCCGGCAGTTTCGCACTTCGCAGCCCTCCACGGAGCCGCCTCGGGGAGCAGGAGGAGGAGGAGAAAGGAGGAGGACGTAGACCACAGTGGTCTACAATTCAAAACGAGCACCTGACACAGGAGGGTTGGGAAAACAGCCAACCAGATGCCCCCACAGCCCTCTAGCCCCTGAGGGTTGAGACCTCGCGGGCGTGAAAACACCCAACCGTCCCAACTCCAACACCGGCAACACATACCGAATGTCCCAGACGTCTCTACTCTGCTAGGGGTCGGCGGAACGGCGTTAGTCACTTGAACAATGAAGCGAACACAACATAACATACATGCAGCATCCTGCAATAACGCTCCTACTCCCCTCCAGGAGTCGCGCCACATCGGCGGACTATCATGACAGCCCACTTGTGGGGCCCCAAGGGTACAGACACATATAGACATTCTATCTATGATATCGGCATCTGGAGCCTCCTGGGGGCCCAAGAGGGCCTCAAGACGGCGGTACAATATGGCTTCCATACGGCCCAAGACGGCCACCCTAAGACGGCCCCAGAGGGCCCCAATGGAGGCTCCCAAGAGCATCTCCAGAGACCAAGATCACTGATTTTCGTATGGTTTGTTGTCAAGTTGCTGTGTCCCGAAAACGACTCGAGGACCCCAAGAGAGCCCCAAGGCGGCGCCGAGAGGCCCCTACGACGGCCTCCGAAGAGGCCAGACAGCGCAACAAAACCCCAACACGGCCCAAGAGCCCCCCACGAGCCGTGACGAACATTTCTTTCAGTCTGTCTTCGCCAAAAGCGCAGCTGGACGGAGTAATTCGGAGTAGAGATACTCAAACTACTCCGCATGCGGGCGCATCCTGCTCGATACTTTATAGGGTGTGGTGCGGTGTAGCAGAATATTTCGAGGGTGCGTCGCGGAGTCGCAAACTTTTGCGATCCGGTGCTCGGGTAACAGAGCCATGCGCATGAGCCGGATCGGAAACTACTCCGCCGAATGACGCCATCCTCATGACGCCAGGAATCTTAAAAGGGATTGGGGATATCTCCGCCAACGCAAGAAGAAACTTGTGTCACGGCTACTTGAGAGTCCAAGACCAGAGTAAGAGAACAGTCAGTAAGGGCTTACATGTGAGCGCGATAGCAAACTATAACCCGACAGTCTGCGCGTATGCGGCTAGGAAAGAAAACCTCCGAGCACAATTAACATACCATAGCCATGCATATACCATTACGAAACATGTCATACGGTTGCCGAGAGCCACAGCAGTGCACAAGTTCAACCATAACGCATACGAGTAGAACTGAGTGTAATACAACATCACAGAGGGGAACGTAACAAAACATAGCGTAATGTAATTCTTTCGAATCGTCCAGAATCGAATGCAGCTGATTCAAGTGGAAAAAACATCAACGACCGATTAACGGAGTTCTATCAACAGCGACGACGTGCGCGCCGACGCGAGGCTGGCCACAAGAACAAGCAAGCGCACCAGCGACTGAAGGGACGACATTTCAAACGTGACAGGCGTCACGACGTCACGCCGCCCCGTCGAGAGTAGAACATAACAGTCCATATGTATATCTAACCGGATCGGACCGAACATAACGTGATCCAGCAGCGACCGAGCAGCGGCGCCTTATCAAACGCGGCATGCGCGCCGAACTCAAGCTGGCCACAATAATAAACCGTACCAGACTCGGGAACGAACGCCGGAGGTTTCGGTGGGGATCGCTCGAAGCAAAATAACAATGGTTTTTGTTTTCGGGACCATTTTGGCCTCCTGCGGTGACGAGTGGCGAGGTGCATTACGCCCCACCCATCTTTTGATCGACCCCTGGAGGACCCTGAGAGGCGCCCAACAGGCTCCGAAGAGGCCCCCAGGAGGCGCCCCCCAAGCTCCTAAGACGGCCCCCAAGAGGCGCCCAAGAAGCCCCAAGAGGCCTCCAACAAGAGGCCCCCAAGACACCTCAATAGGCCTCCTAAGAGGTCCCCAAGACACCTCAAGACGCCTCCCCAGAGCCGGCAAGAGGCTCCAAGACACCCAGAGAGCTCTCAGAGTTCAGGGCGGCTGCGCTGGGCATGGCGTCTGAATAGGCTAGTGGGGATACGCGAAGCGGTAATACATGCACAGTCATAGATTCGCCTTGCATACACATCGTTCACTTCTAATCGTGCTCATTTCTAATTGTGCTCGTTTCTAATTGCTCCTCCTGGCCCCCTAGTGGCCAGGAAGAGACCCAGGAAAGAACAATTAGAAATGAAAGGATCCTGGCCCCCCCCAAAAAAAAGCTGTCGAATACTCAGACATGAACAACGTGTATGTATAAGTGTGCATGCGTATCTGTACTATACTTTGCCTGCTCGACGTCCCGCCCGCAGCCCGGCCAATCGGGGCGCTTCGTGATGGTTTCCCGGTTTCAAGGACGTCTCCGGCTCCCCTCACTATGATGAGACCTACCCGCCGCCGTTCGATTTGGCTGCCAGGTCGAGACTTGGACCGCGGGTGGCCGATCGGGGCACTGGCGTTGCGGCTTCGATCTGCAAGTAGAATGGAACTCCGCTAAATCAAGATTTGGAAATCAGCTTGCCCAAGGGCTGCGGGGGTGACGAGGGGCAGGGGAAGGCATTGTATCAATCGTGGGCATTACATTCGGGAGGGGAGGGAGGAGGAGAGGGAGAGGGAGCGGAAGGGGCGGGCGAACCAGGGTAGAAACGGTCGGAAGGATCTCTCCAGAACTTTCTGGAACCTCCGCAGATCCCCGCGGGCTTAGAAGGCCTCCGAAGCCCCGAAAAGCCAAGAACGCGCAATATCCTCGATCGTCCATCTACGATCCTCAATCCTCCTCCTTCTTCTGCTGCTGCTGCTGCTCCTCCTCCTCCTCAAGTTCCTCATCCTCCTCCGTCCTTGGGAGGGGCTGGATGGAGTGGTCATGCCCAACTCCGCCCTGCATCCGCCACTATGCCCTCTGGCGTGTTGAGGCGGGCTAAGAACAAGTGTTGCCTGGCACGCTTTCTGCAATTCGGCGGCGAGCGAGGGGGGAAGTGAGAAGAGAAGGCCTTCTCAGAGGTTTTCTGAGCATTCCCCGAAGGCAAACAACAACTTCTCAGAAGGCACAAAGGCTTCTGAGAAGTCCCGCCGCCTCCTGAGAAGGCCTTCTCCTTCTCACTTCCCGCCCCTCGCTGCAAGGTTTCCCCTGGGCCGTCGGTGACCCGAGGAGGAGGAGGAGGAGGAGGAGGAGGAGGAGGAGGAGGAGGAGGAGGAGGAGGAGGAGGAGGGTCGAGGAGGGGGTCGAGGAGGGGGAAGAGGGGGAAAGGGGGGAGGAGTTGGAGGAGGAGGAGGATGAGGAGGAGAGGAGGAGGAGGAGGAGAGGAGGAGGAGGAGGAGAGAGGAGAAGAGGAGGAGGAGGAGGAGGAGGAGGAGGGGGAGGGAGGAAAAGGAGGAGGAGGAGGAGAAGGAGGAGGAGGAGGTGGAGGATGAGGAGGAGGAGGAGGAGGAGAGAGGGAGGAGGAGGAGGAGGAGGAGGAGGAGGAGGAGGAGGAGGAGGAGGAGGAGGAGGAGGAGGAGGAGGAGGAGGGAGGAGGGAGGAGGAGGAGGAGGAGGAGGAGGAGGAGGAGGTCGCCTAAGCCCTTTGGAGAAACCCTCCACTCCTGGCAGCACTTCGCTGCGTGCACCGCCTCCCCCTCCCGAGGCTCCCTGGGCTTCCCGGCGCCTCCCTGGGGCTCTCCAGGGCACTCCGAGGCCTGCAGGACGGCCCTGGATGGCCACCAGAGTCGAAGCTGGGCGAGGGCTGGCAAATCCGTGGCTGCTAAAACGGTCTCCCTGGAAAGAAAAAACATATTCCCGGAATAAAACTCAGCTCGCTTCCCGGAAGAAAACTAGAATCACGGAGCTCCGTTTTAGCAGCCACGGGGTTGCCAGCCTTCGCCTGGCTTCTGACAGAGGTCGCCAAAATGGTTCCAAGACGGCCACCGATGGCCCCAAGAGGGCCCTCCAAAGGCCCTCAATATGGCCCAAGAGGGCTTCAAGATGACCCCCAGGAAGAGAGAACGACAAACATCTCTGACGTTGCGTGATTAAGCCTGGCTTTAAAGATTTTCGGGGTCTCAGCTTTTCGGGCCCCTGTCAGCCCAAGACGGCCCAAGAGGCCTCCAAGATGGCCACAAAACGGCCCAATTTGCTCCCAACAGTGCCTCAAGAAGGCCCCCAAGATGCCTCGAAGGCTGCCCAAAGAGGCCCCAACACGGACCAAGAGACCCCCCAAATTGTCTTTCAGGACCCAAGAGTGCCGCAAGACGACCGGGAGAAGCCCTCAAGACGGACCCCAAGAGTGCCCAAGATTGCCATCCTGCGAGCTGAGACGACCCAAGGAACCCCCGAGCGGTCCTGAGAGGTTCAAGTGGCCCCCAGAAATGCCCAAGAGGCCCAAAAACAGCAGGGAAGAAAATGACGAGAAATGTATGACGAAGTTAGGAAGAAGCACCCTGACAGGAAGCGGACGAGAGTGTCACATGTCACGACTTTTCCAAACCTCGGTACACGATGTGTCACTAAGGGAACGAACAATGAACATAAAAACTCGGATCCACGCTGTACCCCCTCCCTGGCGCGCGGAGCGCGCCAGTTGCGGCGCCGGAGGCGCCGCCAGGGGGCGCCAGCGCCGATCCAACGCCGATCCGAGAAATCCGCGCGGACCTCCGAGTTCTCATGTTTCTGTAATTGTTTTACGGCTTCCTGCATGCTCCACGAGCAGTCGCCACCCGAGATGCTGGGCTGGCACGGTGGCGGGACCTGCTGCAAGTAACCAAATAGACATCGGCGCACACACCTCCCAAGGGGTTCATCCCGGTCGGTCTTTCGAGCTCCGGCCAGCAGTGGCAACGAGTCGTTGATGAGTCTTGGGTTTGCATTGGTCCTCCTCCTCATCCTCTTCCTCCTTCTCCTCCTCCTCCTCCTCCTCCTCCTCTTCCTCCTGTGGGGTGCAGGAACCTTCGAACCGACCAACCACGACGTCGCCCGCACATCAGCCGCGCGCGGGCCCCGGGCGCATCTAGGGGAACGGGCAATGGCATAGACATAAAACTCGGAGGTCCGCGCGGACTTCTCGGATCGGCGTTGGGGCCCCTTGGCGGCGCCTCCGGCTCAGCAACTGGCGCGCTCCGCGCGCCAGGAAGGGGGGTCGAGCGCGGATCCGAGAAATCCGCGCGGACCTCCGAATTTTTATGTTTATGTCATTGTTCGTTCCCCCAGCATCAGCTGCGCGCGGACTCCCTCAGCTTGGCGGCCCACTCCTCCAGCTGCCGCAGGTCGTCGGCAAGCGCCGCCTGCGACCGAAAGCAGCACACAGCAGGGGCAGGAGTGCAGCGCGGGGAGGTTCGGCCCGAGGATCCCAAAGCTGGCAGGGAGGGAGAGAGGGCGGATGGGGGAGGAAAGGGAGCGAGGGGGGAGCAGGGACGGAGGGACCGAATTAGAGGGAGGAGCGGGGAGGAACGAGGACTAGAGGTGATTACATCGACGACGGAGACGTCCGCCTCGTCGCGGCACGCCCAAATTGAATATCAGAATAGAAGCTGAAGTCCGCCACTGCCATGAGGCCACCAGCCGTCTCTGGGAGGGGAGCTGGCAGATGCCTGGGAGGGCCCGAAAACCCTCCCATGGGGGGGGGGGCCGCTGGCAATCTCTGAACGTCGCGAGGCGTCTGGATGGACGCCATGGACGACCTCTCGCCCCCCTCCTGCTCGCCCACTCCTCGGGTCGGCACAGCGGGGCCCGAAGGGGATCGTCACTTACGCACCGTAGCTGGTTCGTCTCTTCGCCGCGCTCGCCTCCAGCGGTTCTTGGCCCTGCCAGGGGGTGGAGTCTGGTGGACCCCCAGGTTCCTCTTCACTTAGATCAGCCAGACATGAATGGGGCGTTGCGACATGGGCTTGGGACGGACCCTGGTCCCAAGCCCATGAAGCAGGGGGCAGGGGGGAGAAGGGAGGAGGGGGGATAGAGGAGGAGGGACGAGGGAGGAGAAAGGAGAAGGGAGGAAGGGGAAGAGGAATCTGAGGATGATGATGAGGATGATGGTGGTGATGCTACTGCTGATGATGACAGTGATGAAGCTGATGATGATGCTGCTGCTGATGATGATGATGTTGGTGATGTTGGTGATGATGACTACGACGACGATGCTGATGATGGTGATGACGATGATGATGATGATGATGATGATGATGATGATGATGATTATGATGATGAGGATGGTGAGGATGGTGAGGATGCTGATGATGATGATGAAGATGATGATGATGACGATGATGAAGAGAAGGAGGAGGGGGAGGGGGAGGGGGAGGAGGAGGAGGAGGAGGAGGAGGAGGAGGAGGAGGAGGAGAAAGAGAAGGATGAGGAGAAGGAAGAGGCAGAGGAGGAGGAGGAGGAGGAGGAGGACGAGGAGGAACGGGAGGAGGAGGAGGAGGAGGAGGAGGAGGAGGAGGAGGAGGAGGAGGAGGAGAGGGAGGAGGAGAAGAGGGAGGAGGAAGAGGAGGAGGAGGAGGAGGAGGAGGAGGAGGAGGAGGAGTGGAGTGGAGCAATCGGACGTAGTCCGTTCGGGGGATCAAAACGCCAGGGAGGGCCATCCAGATTTTCTCGGGGTGGCGTGGGTGGCGACATCCCACGGCACCACGCGACAGGCCCTCCCCTGGCCTCACAATTTATTCAGAGCTGGAGCCCCTCTCCGAGGCTCCAGGAAGATTAGGCTCTTGCCTGAGGCTCGAGGCGACCTCTCGAAGGACGCTGGCCTCGGATGAAATTCCACGGGCTGAATTACTGCTGGGAGCTGCCGTCGCTGACGGCAAGGACGCGTCTGGGGCACAATCGAGCTCAGCCGAGGTCGGTCCTGAGAACGGCTTGGAGCTTCGCTCCCTGGGGCTCTCGCGGGGGACGGGAGCACCGCTGGGAGCCGCCACAGACGCTATCGCAGCTTCGGCTGCTGATTCATGCATTGCGGCTAAAACAGACTTGCTGGGACCCGATCTGGACGGGTGGAGGCCACGTCGGATCCTGCTGAGGTTCTCGAGGCCTTTACCAGTGGGTCCCAGGGCCCTGCGCTCGCCAACTTGGTGGCTGAGCGGGCAGGGGTACTGTAGGTTTTTGACCTGGTGCGTGGCCGTATGGCCGCACTTGACACAGAAGAACATTTGCCATTTGGGGATGGCGGCCAACAAGTGGGAGGGGTGTATCGCCTTGCCGCTGATCACACGGGGGCCCCTCGTCAAGAGGACCTCACCACACGCAGCAAACTCAGGAAGGGGGCTAGGCGGTACACACTCCGATGCGGCAGCTGGAAATATCTGGCAAGCGTCGACGATAATGTGACAGGAAGAGCATCACCATTTATCTACACACCGAACGAATTTGTGCTGAGAATCCGCGAGAGCGGTCTGCAACTGGGAACGGGGAGCAGCCTCTTGTGTGGGTTGCTTCTCTGGCCACTGTCCTCGTGGCTCTGCATTCTTTCCAAAAGAGCGAAGAATTAGGCGTGCACGCTGGCGGACGACCGCAGCGATAGCATCATATTCATCAGTCCTGGGCACGGGCGGGAGGGCTTGGGTGGCCACCTTGTGGGCCGCATCTCCCGCAAGCTCGTCGGCTTGCTGGCTACCGAGAGCTAGGAATTTCTGAAAGCCGTGCAGGGTCTGAGGATCGGCGTGGGACGGGGTCCAGAGCACCGTGACCGAGTCAGCTCCACGCGGTCGATCCTGCACGAGATGCCGAATTCTCAGCCAGAGGTCACCATTCTTATTCTTACCTTTGAGGCTACCTGGCCTGAGACATCTACCATTCTGCCAACCACGCTGCAATGCTAGGTGGTCGGTGACATAGGTGAAATCCTGGGGGCACGTCTCTAGTGCCAGGCAGAACGCATACAATTCTCCTCTTGGGACGGTCTGGCGGGAGCCTGAGAGGGGGGCATGGAGGCCCGAGTGGGGGGTCCAGGATCCCAACGAAGAGCAGCAAGGCCTGAACCGACGCGACGTCTCCTAACGTCGTCGGAATAGGCTCCGCCAGACCCGTCCCCAAAGAGACACAACTCACCTTCGCCATTGCGAGCTCCTTCCCACGCTGGCAAACCCTCCCGAACCTCACCCGAAAACTCCCACCCGTCCCTCCCAGTCACTGGCTCGTAAGAGGGCGTAGTGAGAGCAGAAGAGGGAAGGCCACGGAGCCACAAAGCGGGGTCGGCATCAGCCCCCGCTAGAGCTCGCGGCAGTAGCTTGTCGCTGGCCTCGAACTCGGGCCCAACATTCGCATCGCACTGCCACGTGCGATGAAACAGGGTTTCAGGGACGCGAGCGCTGCAGCGATCACAGTTTCTGTCGATCTGGTAGCCTGCGTTGTGGAGGCGGTCTCTGGTCCACTGTCCTCCGCTGATGATGGTATTGTTGAGGGCCCAATCGCTGAAGTCGCCTTTCGCGAGGAACCTCTTTTGCTCGATGCGGATAGTGACCATGTCTGCGCCTCCTGCAAGCGTGTCTCCATGGATGTGTGTAGCGGCCTGCCTCCAGAGAAGTCGGTGTAGATCTTCGCTGAGGTCTTGCAATGCTGTGTGGATGTCGGCGTCGAGGAGGTCTGGGTCGTCGGCGAGAGGAAGGTTCCACTCCTCGATGTAGCCGTCCTTCGTGCGCCTCCACGTCGTAGCGGAGGTCGGCTCCCAGCTGGCCTCTAACAGGGTCGCGATGGCCGCGCCTGTGGGGCCCTTCACCTTGCACCACATCTTGGGGCCAGCGGCGAGCAGGGTGGTCTTGATCCTTGGCCAGGCTCTGATGATCCTGGCGTGCGTGTTCGGGTGGCGCATCCAATGCTGAAGCCACGCCTCGAGGAACTCCATCCTCAGGGAGACGCCAGGGTCCGTGCCGTCGAAGGTGGCGCCGAGGAGGGACGTGAGGCAGCGTCCCGCGGCAGAGCCCGTCGCGGCTATGGCGGCCTGTCGACGCCAGCGGAGGAGAGCGTGCCGAGCGAGGCCATGAACCTGATGTCCGAAGACTCCTTCGGGAAGAGCGCCCGTGCGCCACAGGCCAGCGGAAATACGGGCCTGCTGAGCAGTGCTCCGTAGTCGATGTATTTTGCGAAACCTGGCGGTGGCCGACTTCTGCCGCTTCCTGGCTTTGGCTTGTACTCGTCGGGTAGCAGCAGCGGCGTCCACGCCTAGGTCAACGGCCGTGGACGTCGCAGTTACTGGAATGTCGTACTGTCGCATCTGTTTGGCGAGCAAGTGGCGGACCTTGGGTGTAGAGCCGATGAGGACGGTCTTGTCTGAGATAGGCAACTCGAACTCCTTCAAGCCGTCGCAGAGCATCTTGGCAGCAAGGGGGAGGTGCTTCTGCAACGCTCGTAGGACACCTTCAGCTCGTAGTACCGTGTCGTCCACGAAGGTCCACATCTGGGCTAGCTCTGCCTGTGCTTGAGCATGTCGAAGAATAGGTAACAAAATAAGTCGTGCCAGGGTGGTGCCGTGAGGGGAGCCTGCAATGATGCCCTTGAAGGCGAAGATAGGCATGCGCACCCATTGACGACTGCGCAAGAACCTGGGCGCCAGGTAGAGCTGTACTTCCAATAATAGAATGATGGCAGGGAAGCCGCAGTTGAGGCCCACCATGATCAGGTTGGCGAGCTTGATATTGTCGTAGAATTTCTGGATGTCTAACAGCAAGGTCGCGGACTGAATGCCGAGTGCTGAGGCTGTCTCATCTAACAAGGCCCTGTGTAGGGCGGCTTGGAGAGCTGAAGAGCCTTTGATGGCTGTAGTCCAAAAGTCGTCAAGTCCTTGCGACCAAACTTCCGAAGCAGTAGATCTAATACGAGACCAGAGTCGGGCCATGTGTGGAAGCATGCCAAGGACTCTGTCGCCTCCCGCTTTCTTGGCGGCGAGAGCTGCAATGGTGCCTGAAATTTGTAAAGGCCAGATGCCAGCTTGCTCCACTGAATTGAGAACATCTGCATAGGCTTCGACGGCAGGTTCTGGCAATCGATGAAGGTCGCGAGGTCCGAGGGCATCAACTCCATGTGCTTTACTTGGTGGCATGCGGCCGTGTATGCGGTGTACTTGCTCGGCTGTGATGGGCTCGAGAGGTTGACCAACAGCTGCTGCCTTGGCCTTATTCAGGGCCTGGAGGATGTCGTCGGAGGTCTCGGTGGCGTGCCAGACTTGCTGCCATTGTTGCTTCTTGTTGTCCATGATGACGGTGGGGTCGGCGGTGGTCAGGTTGGCCGTGTAGGCCTCGATGTGACGTACAGGTGCAGGCTTAACATGGGCGTGTAGAACTCCAGGACGGCGCTTCCA